GCACCGCGGCCTTGAAGTCTCTGTCGGTCGCTGCCGCTGTTTGTGGGGAAGGTTCTGCTTTACATTAAATGTGTAGTCTTGAACTTGGCCTCTTCGTTAAATGGGTTAAGTATGTGAATATCGGCTCATACGTGGCAAGGGATTTGTGACTCCTCCGTGGGAGCAAGTTCCAGTCTTTCAGGAACCTTTAAAAATGCCGGCCCTAAGGAAATAAAGGGGTGCTTTGCCAATAATTTCATTTGAGTTAGAATTGAAGGCAGGGTGGAGCTTCTGGATTTTTTTTTTTTTAGCTTGTTAGATGTATTGTGTTTATATTTGGTTCAAAAATTCTGCAAAATTAAATAAGCATAAATGTTTTTCCTTTTTCTGCTTGATACATAGTGATACCAATGCCTGATAACTGAGCGTGAAGGGGTGTTGCTTGTTCAAGTAAGCGTGTTGTGCCTGTAGGTATGGCCAAAGCTGGTCTTGCAACAGGAAAAACGAAAACAGATGCCTGTTTGTCATTGATGTGTGATTGATGGGCAATAATAAAGGGAAGTGTTTAGTGCAGTCACAGGGAACTTCCCTTTTTAGGCTTGACTTTAACCTATTACGTGTGTGTTGCAAGGAGTGGAATGAAAAATTTTTTTTCTCGTTTCGCCTTTGCCTTTGTTGTAGAGACTTACTTTACGAGACTAAAGAATACAAAACTCTTAGCAGCAGTATGGTTATAAAGAAATTACAAAGACAGTAAAGTTGTTGGTAGCAAGTTGAAGTCTCTGCACACTAATGCTTTATTTTTGGTTTTTTTTTTTTCAATGAGTGCAGCTTTTTCAAGTGTTCTCTGAAGTCAGTGGGATTATTTCCATTGACCTTGGTGGGCTCTGGTTGTTTCAAGTCACAGCCAGTGAAGTACAAGTTCTCGTACATACGTATTTTCTCTAAGCAGGTTTTTGTTTTGGGGTTTAGTGGTTCTTCTTACTAGGCTTTCAATTTAAATTCTGAGAAACAAATAATAGAAAATGGTTCAAGAAAGTGTTAGAACTGCAATTTGCCTTGTCCATGGCTATTCATTTTCTTGCACAGGATGCAACAATGGCGATTAAGTTAATGTGCACATGACGAATAGTCTTTGCAAATAGAATGATTTCCTGTTCAAAATGAGTAGAGTCTCTTCATTTTCATGTTCAGTTACTTATTTCATCTTGTGCTAGCACTTGCTAGGCTACTTTGAAGTCTTGCATTTGGAAATTACAATCAACCTGTTGATTTAAATAAAATTCAGGCTCATTGGAAGGACATTCCATAATCTTTCTGTTGTGTTTTGTTTTATTTTAGTTTTTAATTTGGGTTTAAAGTGCGTGGCGTTAAGTATTCAGCAGGGAGATTGTCAGTGTTTGACCAAACAGTAGGCAAATACATGCACTTCTGTATGTTTACGTTGCTGAAACCCATCGTGAAAAATAATCTTTTTTTATATTACACAAATTCGCTATTTAGTGTGTGTGTGTATGGTTATTATCTACTTTCTAACTGTTTCAGAGTGGTGATGGAACTGAGCTGACAGCCAAGCCAAAGAGAAGCTTTTACGCTGCAAGAGATTTATACAAGTACCGACACCAGTATCCGGTAAGAATATTTTATGGTTTAAAATTGGCTTTTTAGTAGAAGACAGCACACAACCCAAACAGTCCTAAACCTTTGTGGTGTCTAATAAATATGAGGAATGAGAAGACTCAAAAAGCTGATGCAGAGGCCCAACATATGCCAGTGGGAGAGCAGTGAAACTAGTGCAACGTCTTTTCATCCCGGGTGTACATGCAAACACGTGAGATGTGTAAGCCTGGCAGCAGCGGTAGGAGGCCAAAAAAAAGGCTTGCGCCTTGAACATCAAAGTGGGTAGATGATAGAGTTTGGACTTATTATTATTTGTGTCTTGGAAGTTCCTTGAGACCAAAGTCAAGGTGCTAGATGCTCAGACTGCTGCCTCAGTAGGAGAAGGTACCAACCAGAAGGAACTTACAGATCCTTAAACTGAATCTTTAAGTGCCTGAGGAATTCTAAGTGATTTCCAGTGTTCATAGAACTCTGACATTTTTTAGTCCTCAAATTATTTGGAGAGCTCTGTATCACTTTCTGAATGCTCTTGATTGGTTTTTGTAGGCTGATAATGTCTTATTTCTTTTCTTTCAGCAGAACTTTAAAGATCTTCGATACCAAAATGACTTGTGCAATCTCCGCTTTTACAAAAATAAAATCCCTTTTAAACCCGATGGTGAGTAATCTGTGGCAATAATAGTGATAACAAAAGAATGGTCACTAATAATAGTAATGAAGTGAAACTAGTGATAATTGTGGTGCTGACAAATTAAAGGGGTATAGTTATATATTGTACGACTTGAACCTTCCATGTTGGAGTAATGTGTTGATAACATGGGAGCAGGTTATGCTTAAATCAGAGTTAGCCTTTGCTTTAGGGAGGTGGTGCTTTTTCTCTTGCATTTTCAGCATGATGTAGTACAGGGCGTTGTTTGTACCACCGCTTTACAGTAGTGGCACTACCTTTTATTAAACAAAGGTAAAGTTGCTCCACTATGCTGCCCAAACTCTTGCTGCTTGAATAGGAGTGGCAGGGATAGAGGTGTTATCCCTAGCGCTGTGTAAGGGAAAAAGAATGTGTTGTAACTACCTTATGTGTGATTATTATAATAACAATAATAAATTCATTTCTCAAAGTCCCTAGCGATTCTGGTCGTAGAGCAGGCACCTCATATGGGAGGTTCTGCACAAACACAGGATGAACTGAAAGATGACAAACCCTGCTCTAGGAAGTTTGCAAGCAAAGTATGAGAGACAAGAGGGTAGCAGACAGATGGGGAAGCTGAAGGAGGCAATAAACTAGTCTTAGTTAGAATGGTAGATACAAGTCTTAGCACATGAGAACTTAGCCATTGGCCAAAAAAATTTTGCAGGTAAAAAATAAGCTTTTGAGAGTTTTAAAAGAATGATGAGGAGGCTACTTTGAAGGTGTTTGCAGAAAGATCCTCTCAGCATGGGAGCAGCTTGGGAGGAAATACCGAAGTGCACATGGAGTACAGAACAAGTGAGACGTGGAGGCTGCCATTGAGGCAGAATCCTGTCGGAGGCAGGATCAGTCTCATAGCAACAAATGTGTTCCGATAAGGTAGGAAGGGACAGGTCACAAAAGGGTTTGCAAGTGAATGTGTATGGGTTTTTTTTGATGGTATAGAAAAGGGCTTCACAGTGGAAGAATGCAAAGCAAAAAAAAAAAAAAAAGGCAATATAAAAAAGCCATGGTCTAGAAGCATGATCTTACCAGCAGCATTCAGGGTAGATATAAGCATGACAAAAGGGCAGTTTTCAACATCAGGAAAGAGGATGTTGAGGTACTAAGCGTCAAAGTTCTGACAGGAAGAGATGATCTTCTGGATGGGAAGGAATGTTATATAGAAAGGTCTAAAGATGTACATATAGGAAGGTTGAAGATAAGAGCTGTTTATAGGCGAGATAGTGATAATATCCTCAGCAAGTGAGAAAACAAGTCGGGTCATGTGAAAGAAAGGTAAGACAGACCTTTGTTTTAATCATCTTGAGCTTTATCTCGACATCCACAGGCAGATGCTGAAGACTCTGTTTTTAGCTTGACTGGAAAAAGAGTTAGATCTGTGAATTACCGGTACAGAGGTAGCAAATTCAGGAGACATTACACAGAGAACAGATATAGAAAGGAAGAGAAGGGCACTGAGGTCCATGTGAACCTGAGGAGCATGTGAACCTGAAACTGAAAGCCAGAAAAGCTGGGGGAGGGTGGAGGAGATTCTTTAAAGTGCAAAATGAAGGAGCAATTCCAGAGGATTAGCCATGAGAAGAGACAGTCAGGAAAGCTAGAGGAGGGATTTCCTCCTAAAATGTGTAAAAAATAAAATTTATCCTAATGTTTTAGGAGAAAAGCACAGTTGGTAGTGTCAAACGTAGCTGATGAGCCATGGAGGCTGAAGTGTTGAAGGCTGTGAGCTCTGGTTATATAGAAGTTTTTATTGAGAATAGGAAGGAGTCGCCACCACCTTGACCTAAGTCTGTGGATCTGTGAGAGTGTTCAGAGGGAGTCTAAGCTACCATGTTAGGGAGTGAACTACTGGGGAATGCTATTAAAAAAAGACATTTCTAGTACAATACTAGATCTGAAGTTTAATTCTGTGACCTACAGATTTAGCTTGTGGTTCTGACTTAGACATAGCCTGTCTCTGCCCTGGAATTGAGCAGCAAGTTTTCCAGTACCTGAAATACGAAGGTTGGATACAGTGCAGTGGTGGTGGGGGGTCCTCTTTGTAAGGTCCTTTTCTAGCCTTGCCTGCACTGGAAACCCCATGTTCTTGGCAGCCCCTTTGACTGGCTGCTTTCTCTGTTTCTTGAAGAAAAGTACCAAATAGGTTCTCCTTTGTCACTGAGACTCAAGTGGAAATTTTCACTGGGGGGAGAGAGATCTCAAATGTATAATAGGAGACTGTCTGTGTGGGGCTTTGGGCTTCTTAGGACACTCCTATGCTATTTGACTTTGGGAGAGGCCGTGTGGCAGTGGTCAAACTGTTGTTTTTTTCAGAGTAGGAACAGGCTAACTCTGAGCATTCATTCATGGAAAGAGACTGTACAGGTTTTGGGACGAGGAACATCCTTTTATGTACTTCGTGTATTTGTGCAGTGCCTGGAAAAGTGCCCTGGCCCATGGCTGAATTTCACGAGCATGGTCTCAGTGTGAAGAATGATTAATTTCCTTTTACATGTACTTTGTCCCCCTTTTCTATCACTGTGTCTTTCCAAGAGGAACTGACTGAACTCCACAACTGTTCTGAGACCACTGAAAGCTGAAATTCTCTTTGTTGAGCATGACCTGAGAACCCAAGGTCAAACTCATAGCAATGGCAGCAAGACTCTTGGCCACAGCAAACTGCGAAAAATTTCCCATTCATAATGTTATTTGCAGCTGGAGAGAATCCTGGAATGGGAGATTTCTTAGAGTTGAGGCTTTGTTCTATTAAGATTATTTTATATTTATATATATATAATATATATAAAAATATATGCGCGCAGAGTTTTGTCATGTTAAAGCAATGACAAGTGATTCATGATGCAATGTTTTATGTAAATGTTTTTTTAATTACCAGTCAGTGTGATAAAGGGATCTAGGACATGAGAACTTTTGGGGAAGTATGTTTTACAGAGGTTATTGTCACGTACCCTCTGCTGGTAAGTAACTCATTGTAAGTCAGTTGGCTTTGTTTATACTGAAATTTGATAAATCTCTTTTTAATTAAGTTTTAGTAACTAAATTAATTTTGAATTAAAATTAATTTATTTATGCTGTAATAGACCTTATTTCACATAGTATGTGAAAGAGAATTAAAGAATGTATTCTATTATTATGTTAACATGGCAGGTACTGTAAGTAGCGGAATACTGTTTTTGATGGCTACCTGACAGTTTTCAAATTATTTTTATGCAGGGGTTTATATTGAAGAAGTCCTAAATAAATGGAAAGGAGACTATGAAAAACTGGAGCATAACCACACTTACATACAGTGGTTGGTCACTTATTACCTATTTCTGTTTCAAAGCATTAATTTGATTAATTGTTCATATACTGTGAGCCATAATGCACTTTTTCTTTTAACAGGCTTTTCCCACTGAGGGAACAAGGTCTGAACTTCTATGCTAAAGAATTAACTACATATGAAATTGAGGTAATACAAATTGAGCTCATCACATTAATTTTGATACATAGCTGCTTTTTGTTATATAGAGTTGTTTTATACAATGCAGAAGTACTTGCTTTAGTGCCACTTAGAATTTTGGATGTATTCTTTGTTTATTAGGAATTCAAGAAAACAAAAGAAGCAATTAGAAGATTCCTTTTGGCTTACAAAATGATGTTAGAGTTTTTTGGAATAAAACTAATTGATAAAACTGGAAACGTAGCACGAGCTGCTAACTGGCAAGAAAGATTTCAACATTTGAATGAGTAAGTAATGGCACACACTCCACTCTCTAGAATTGCCACAGAATCTCTTTAGTCTTTTGTTTTGTAAAGAAAGGGAAGATAGATTTTCCAAAGATTGCCTGGAAAAAGAGAAAAAGAAATAGTCAGTGCCTGGTTTGTGTCTGTATGTGTGTGTTCCTCCTTCCCCTTTTTTTGATTGTGCTTCTCACTCATTACCAGTCTAACTGACGTCACTGAATTCCCTGAATATACAACTTGACATGGTGCAGAAGAAGATCATGGTTCCAAATTAATTTCTGTCATGCTACTGAACGCATTTTCACCTGATCCTAAAGTGCTGCTTCTCAGCTGGAAAGAACGAGTGGCTTACCTTTGTATTCACATTTCTTTCTGAGAAAAGTCAAATTCTCCACACATGTATGAAAGCTAAATAACAAGATTTCGTTCCCTCCTCAAAACATGAAATATTATGTATTTAATACTCTAATTGCAATGCTTAACTAAGGAGGTTTAGACATGCATTAAGTCAAACTCTAGCCCAGCTTGCAGCAAATTACATCTGTCACTTTTCATTGGCATTGTGTGGGGCAGAAGTTTACACTGCATTTTGTCCCATGCAGACTAGTTGTACCAAAATCTCTTTAAAATCTTGTGATCACTTTTCCTAATACCTCTGGCCTTAGAGCTGAAGACTGTTTTCTTGCAGTGTTTTGTACTTCCATCCAAATAAAAGGTTGTAGGTAGAATTGCTGTTGGATCATTTTGGGTGAATAATGGGAATAATTTGTTATTCATTTTACTTAAATATTATATGAGCCAATATGGGTGTGGGCTCAGGCTCAGGCCACAGTTAGAACAGGGTTTCAGGAAGCCCAAATGTTACTCACTGCACATTTTTACACTGTAATTACTATAGTCTCACCAGTGAGTAGCTATGCAGTTTTAAGTTACTAATTGGGACTCTTCTTACCTAATTTTAGTCACCTAAAATTTAGGCATTTAAGTTTTACTGTTTACTTAGGTGTACTTATGTGGGAAAGAGCTCTTCACAAGCACTTCCAGAAGATAGTTCATTCCATTTGTCTTCGACACTTCTTAGGACAGTGGGACTTGCTCTCCAGAGGTGCCTGTTTTTCTCCCAGCACTGGCTGTATCAGAAGTGCAGGTAGCTAGTCCAGACTGGAGATCCAGCTTTTAAATAGCTTAAGTGAAATGCAGTGAATCCTGTTCTGTAGCTCTATTACTGCAATACACTACAAAACCCATATTTTACAAAGTGACTGGGTTTTCTCCTCAGAAAGAATACGTATAGCAGAAGGAATCAAAATCAGTACATACTTTGATTTTAATTTTTTTCTAGCCTGTTGCCTCAGTGCATTTTACAGACATTAATTTTCACTCACAACATGCTAGCAAAGGAGGTGTTAGCAAGGTGCTTTTTTTTTTTTTTTCCTGATTCAATGGAATTTTTTCACCCTTTTCTTCCAAAGGTCTCAACACAACTACTTGAGAATTACTCGAATTCTGAAAAGTCTTGGTGAGCTTGGATATGAGAGTTTCAAATCTCCCCTGGTAAAGTTTATTCTCCATGAAGCTCTTGTGGAAGATACCATTCCCAACATTAAGCAAAGTGCTCTAGAATATTTTGTGTATACTATTAGAGACCGAAGACAAAGGAGGAAACTCCTGAGATTTGCTCAGCAACATTATACGCCCTCAGAGCATTTTATCTGGGGACCCCCAAGAAAACAGAAATCAGAAGGAAGCAAAACAAATAAAAAGCCAGCATCTCCAATTTCTATTCACAATAGTTACATTTCTAAGCATAAGAAACCAAAAGAGCCTAAGAATACACCAGCAAGTGGAAGCTCAGCTGCTAAAACAACTGAAGAAAGAAAGGCAGAACTCACAAAAAACGGGGAAGAAAATGACCAGGATAATCAAGAAATGAACTGTGATGCTGTTAGGCAGAGCAACAGTGAAAAGAACAGTGATACCGATACTGGTCAGCTTTCAAAATCAGAAGAAATTCATGATACATCAGACAGAAAGGAGGAGGCTTCTCATTCCAAAAAAGATGATGGAAATCTGAATAGTGACTGTGGAAATCACCCAGGCACTATAGAGAAAGATTTATGTGACACTGAGAATTCTTCAAATAACACGTCAGCAGATCTACAAGATAACCTTGATAAGGATACGCTTTCAGGGAGGACCGCCACAAAAACCAAGGAAGAGCTCAAATCATGAGCATGAGGTTAAAAATCATTTATGTTTCATATTGAGCAAATTATTCATTGCTCCTTCATTTTGGGTGAAATTTCCATCTAGTGTAGTGTAAAATGTTCATGAGACTATGCTTGTTGCAAATGCATTAGATTAGGCTTTGTTAGGCTCATGAGTGTTATTTTTTTCAACCTCAGTTTATCAGCAGTCAACCAGGTGTGGCTCTTTAAAACAATCATGTATGTTCAAAACTAAGAAATTAATTATCTTTTCCAGACAGATTGCATAGGAAAGCTTATCTATTTTTTTTGCCATTAAATTCACCCGATGTTTAAAAAAAAAAAAGTGTAACTTACTAGGAAAGCCTTGGAACATAAGATTTTTTTAAAGTTTATTTTAATATGCTTTAGGTGTTGATTTCCTCTTATGAAATGACTAGAAATAATTTCGAGAGCACAGTTTTTTCCCTAGTGGGTTGTTTGTTTTTTTTTTTAGGAACTATGTTCATGTTTAATGGCAGTATTTGCACAGCATCTTTTACCTTAGATTAGCATCCTTGTCGGAGACACTTAGTAATGGATATCAAAATGTCCTATGCAGCTGGGTATCATTGTACATGGAATAAAAGTTTAACTTACAATGGAACTGTATCCACAGCTTCTGGGTGCAAGGGAAGTTGCACTTTAGACTTCTTTTAGTCCACGTTAAGTTCTCACTTCTTTTGACTCATTTGTTGCTATTACTAATTTGGGGGAGGGATCTCTTTGGTCACTCAGATTTGGTCTCAGTGTGAAAGCTGTCTGTTGATCAGCTGTAATAAAACAACTCCCCCAGCTGGGTTCAGCACCTGGAAGGCCTCTGGACAGCTGAAAAGCAGTGTCTTTACCACAAAGCACTGCTTAATCATCAAAGCCATCAGAGAAAATGTCACCAGGCCTGTCCAGCTGGATCGTACCTGAACTTGGATGTTTCTTGGCCAGTTTTGGGTAAGGTCTGCACAATGCTGAACCCCCTGCTGCTGATCTGGGAGAGAAAAGCAGTCCTGATGCTTCTTTCCAGCTGTCTGTTTGCTCTCTGTCAGAGGTCCTTCACAGTTTAACGTTATTTTGATTATCGGCTGAATCCTGAGGGAGGCCAGACTGCTGGCCCGGCTGGAGCCCAGTGGGTAGGGATTTCCCAATTAAGATCTTTCCCAACTTTCTTCACTGAAGGACTGTCTGCTTTCCCTGAGTAGCCTCTTCTGACTTCATGCCATTCAGTCAAACAAGGTAGTACCCAGCAAGTTAATTGTGTAGCATATGAATCAAAAAATAATGCAGGTAGAACTCACACTTCCTACAGTCCTAAAATAGTCTAAAATTTCTGTATGTGTTTTCTATTTAAAAGTGTATACATTATCCACTGCCTTTAATGTATTTTTTGATGACATGTTATGAAGCAAGTGGCTGACTAGTGTTTGAGCATCAGAGTGCTACAGGGCTTTATTCAAGTCTTAAATTGACAAAGTCTTCAGGGGTTTCAGAACATAGACAAAATGTCTTGTATTTTTCTGTTTCACTAATTCCCATCATGGCAGTGCATCATCCATTGCTTTCCCCACATAGCACTGTTTCTTGGGATCAAATAGAGTGGCAGTTAGAGGTCTTGGTACCCATGGACAAAGATTAGGCTCTTTCCACCCTAAAGAGACAGGGAAGATGTATCCCTCCTTTTCCTGTGCTGATTTGCAAGGACTTTTTTTAAGGGTAACCCAGATCGCTCAAGGAAGCCTTAAGTCTGTCTGAGCAGAAATGCCCCAGAGAATTCCTCCCGCAACCACGGCCTCTTTAAAGCTGGAAGGGTGGTGAGGAGCCTTTCACAGTACCCTGGACTTGAACTAGGATCCCCTGGTTCATGTTTGCCTCTGACCTTCAGAGCAGAAGGGGACAGAAAATGCTGAGATAAAATTGGTCCGTGTAGTTAAGGACTCTGATGCCACGTGTATGCACAGGGAGGACAACTTTATGTTCTGCCTATGACTTTTTAAATACTGAGTGCCTAACCATGCCAGCTTAATAGTGTTGTTTTTACATACTTACTTCTTGAATGGCATAGGGAAAATTTATACCCTGTGTATGAGGAACGTAACTATAAGGTAGGTAGTTACACATATCCTTCAATTTATGGACTTCCGTATTAAAGTGAAACACTTTAAAAAAATGCATAGTGTTCAAGTGAAATAAGGGGTGCTGGGGGTGTTATATTTATACTGTAATTTGATTGAACATTGATGACCTCAGGAGATCATCCAAAAGATTTCTCTGCAGTATGGTATTCTGTTACTGTGACACAGCTTTCATCTATACATGCTTGCTGGTTCTCCACTCATAATTAAGTATTTAATGTACTTTTAATCTGGCAGGGCTGTCTTCACTAAGGGCCCAGTGTATCTGAAAATACAGCCAAGAACTTTGGGACTCGCATCCTTATAAACTCTGCAATTTATTTTTTTTTAAATCCGCAACTCAGTATATTTCTACCAGTTTTCATAGAAGTGAGAAGAGTAGTGGCATACCAGTTGCCTACACAAACTGTGGGGATGAGGTGAGTGAGGTTTTTTGTGTCAGGTGGGCTCCTGCCTTCTCATAGCTTTATCAACAGAATTAGTCCCATGGGACACTTCAGCTTTAACTAGCAAATTTTGCTGTGTGTAAAGTCTGATGGTTTATCATTCTTTTCATGGAGGAGTTGTTTCTTCTCATTTTGTAAGTGCTTAAAAGGAGGATTCATTGCAGGGCAATCATGCAGTGTAGCATCCCACTGAGCCTTGTGAGGATCAAGTGGGTGCACATTCCATTACAGAATCATGGCCTTAGCAACGAGCAGAACCCTGTGTTTGAAGTTTCTGAGTATTGGCTTTCAGGTTTACAGTACAATACATCTTGAAATGATTGTGTTCTCATAAACGCCAGTACTCGGTTACTTAACTGTTACTTCTGAAACTGAGGATGTGCAAAGAAAATCAGGACATTGGCTCACTGTTAAACTTGTTTTTGTCTCGCTATACACTTAAGTATTCAGGAATTTATGTGTACTTACTACAATAATGTAGTTTGGCCCAGTGTTTTACTAGAATCTGAGCTATTCATTTATTGATTGAACAGAACCTCCTATACAGGGGTTCTTTCCTAATAAGTACATCTGAGTACTGGTACTGTTAAGTGGGAGTAGTGTGTATAGGCACACACACCTGTGAATTTGATTTTAAGTGTCCTATGGTGAGGACTCAAATTATGAATGCGCAACTTGGCAAAACGTTACTGAGTACACACGTGCAAGTGAAGGCGATCAGACAAATCATCCAAAAATGCAGCACTTCCAGATTAGTTACAGCTCCGTGCCCTGCTATCCTGTGAGGATGTAACTGTGCCTCGGTACCTGACGCTGTGTTGGCGTAGAGACTGAAGGCTTGGGTACATGAGGTGTACTCCACAGACCATTCAGATGAGAGCAGTTATGTGTGTGCACATATCTAGGAGAATGGAGCTCTTGGTGTCCATATTGCTCATATTTAAAGGCGTGAGCCTGAAGGATGCTAAAAATATTTGCAATAAGCTTTTCAGAGCTGTTTCCTGACTTGGTCAGCTCCTCGGTTTCCTGCTCCTAAGATTGCAGCAGTCTGATGTATTAGGTATTTGTGTAATCATAGTTAGTATTTCATGTAACCTAGCGTAAGCATCCTTGAACTATTCCAGGGTAATTCTAATAATCTGCAGTTGCATATACCTGTACTATAACCAGAAAGTTTACAGACCTTAGAAGCTTCGTGTAATTTTGATGGATGATCCAGTAAGGTAAGTCAAGGGAGATTTACTGGATTTAAATGGAAAACAGCTCTTGTTTGTTTTTAAATGAAATTTATGTATATTTGTTTAATTGAATTATTTTTTGCACCTTTGTTTTCCTGACAGTCGTGATGGTGCTCATCACAAATTATAGTAAGATACATATGTTCAAGTGAAAATGTTAACTCTTACTATGCCATACTTTTACAGGTAACATATCATACTGAATTTCCTTGACAAAAGCTGTATTTATGAATAAGATGCAAGTATGTGAAGTAATATTTGCCATTAATAAAAGTGTGACAATATCATGCTAATTATATACATTGTCCTAAGAACCACCAGTGTGGATCAGAACCAAAGATGTTTGTAGCCTTGTGTCCTGCCTCCAGCAGTGGCCACCAACAGATGGTATGAAACAAAGAACACATAAGGTGATCCCATTTTTCTCCAGGAATTTTTCCATTTTGAACTCATGGTTTCTTTCAGCCTCCGCAATACCTTGTGGCTGGGAGTTCCATGTTTTAATTATGTTTTGTATGGAGAAAGTAATGTCTTGTTTGTCTCTGATATCTTTATTCAAGAATTGCTAGTGCATTTGAACACAGTTACTAAAAGTACTGTAAGATGAACAGTAATCCACTTCATTTTTCAAAAGCTGTGGGAGATTCTAATGATAAAATGCCTGCTTAGGCAGCAAATGTCCTACGTTTCTGTCCGTAGGGAGATGTCTGCTTAGGCAGAAAACTTGTCCTATGTTGATGACAATATTATCTTACTTATCCCTTCTGAATAAATTTTTGAACAGAAATCCTTTTGTATGAAGTATTAAAAGTCAGTTTCCAAATGCAGAACAGTTTGGGTTTTTTTTCCTGTCAGTGTAAAAGCAAGATCAGTCAAAGGCAAAACCTATTCCTAGCCCACATCTGAGTGGGGTACCTCTGGATTTGGAGACACCAACATCAGTGGGTGTAACATTGTGATCATGGAGGAGACAGAAATACTGTCAGGGCTTTGTTGAGAACCATACTCCTCATTCCATGTTTCAGTAACTTGTTTTGATACGTGTCCCCAGTCCCAACTGCAACTGGAGTAATGGCTCAAAATGTGTTTTTGATGGTCATCGGAGCCTGAAAATGAAGAATGGGTTAAAAAGGCCTAAGCGTGGGCAAAGCGCCATCGATTCATGTGACGGTCAAC